GGTTTTACACAAAAAACGTCCCCAAGACAAACGACACACCCCGCGCGGCGGCAAACGCACGTGCTTTGTTGTTGTTGTTGTTGTTGTTGTTGTTGTTGTTGTTGTTGTTGTTGTTGTTGTTGGTGCTGCTGCTGCTGCTGCTGCTGCTGCTGCTGCTGCTGCTGCTGCTGGTGTTGTTGTTGTTGTTGTTGTTGTTGTGGTTCTTGTTGTGGTTCTTGTTGTGGTTGTGGTCGTTGCGGTTGTGGTTGCGGTTGCTGTGGCTGTTGTTGTGGCTGCTGTCGTCTCCAAACCTGGTATGCAGCACGGACAGTCAGCCCCCGTTGTTGTTGTTGTTGCTGCTTATTTTTATTGTTGCTGTTCTTGCTGTTGTTATTGTTTTTGTTCCTGTCATTATTCTTGTTAGTGTTGTTGTTTTTGTTTTTGTGTTTGTTCTTGTGGTTGCGGTGGTGGTTGTTGCGGTTGTCGTTGTCGTCGCGGCACTGAGCTTTTTGTCGCGCTACGGCCATTATGGCTTGATGGCACTTCTCCAAGTACTCTTGTGTTTCGGGGGTGCTTGCTTTTTTTAGCTGCGTTCAGGGGTACTGGACCAAAGCAGAGGTTTGAAATTTATCTCAAATGCACTGCACTGCAATGCTACAGAATTAAGGCGAGCAAATGTGTCGTTTTTTACGAACCCTTAACCAAAGCAAAAGTGTCTTTACAAATCCTCAGCAGAAGAGCTTCCTAAACCCTTCAGAAACCTAAACCCTAACCCTATAAAGCCTAAAACCCCCAAGCCCCAAAACCCTTAGCCCTCTCATGGCTTTTCCTTCCCAAGCCCGACCCCCAAACCCGAAATTTTCCATTTCAACCTCACCAGAACGTTGGCAACCGGACAGGAAGTCCTGCGGCTCTCGCCCGCCGAGGACCGCGCGGAGGCGCCCCGATTCGTCGTGAATTTAGGGTTTCATGGACCCAAGTTTCAGGGCTAGTAGGACCTATACCTACAGCCTGTAGCTAGCCATAACAACCATACTACTAGTGCTTGTCTTGCGAATGACGCTTTTATCATCATGGGCAATAACAGCAGTATTGTGATGTCTCTGTTTACAAGTTCACCATCTTTCGCGGTGAAAGCCTAGTATTGGTCTTACTGGAACTTTCAGTACTCTCTTAGATCCCGCGATTGTCATGATGCTTATTTGAGGTTCTTGTTGGGAACTCGTTCTGAGCGAAGCGGTAACCCCAACATGAAATCCTGAAACTTAAAGCCTGAAGCCGAATCTAACGTCGTATTCCTCCGCCGTGATTGAAAGCGTTCAAGCATCAACCACCATGAGAGCCATGTATGCTAGGAACATGACCCTCACGACTCTGAACCCCGAGCTGACCCCTCAGCCTCTAAACCACTCAATCCCCAAACCCGAGACCTTGCCACCCCAACACCGCAAACCTTACATCCTCAATACCAAACCCCACAATGATTGTCCTTCTGACGATGCTCGTGGGAATAAGCATGCCTGGAATAGGGATCATGTCAGTGAGTTCCAAACCCAAGTGTCTTGAAGCCGCCACCCTGAAATCGAGCCTTCCAATGTCGCCAAACACTTTAAACCTAGTACACCATTCATAATCCTTAAATCCCTAAGTCCAACGAAAATATTTAAATATGCCTAGCTTACATACATCCCTCAATGTTTAAACCCAATTATCTTAAAATCCCTAAACCAAGAAGTTTGACTTGTCGAAGCACGATGATGATGGTGATGATGATGATGATGATGAGTGCCTGCATATTGATGATGTTCATGGGGATGGTGGCGAACTGGACGTCATTACCCCCACCCCACCCCACCCCACCCCACCCCACCCAACCCAACCCCCGCAAACCAGGGAAGCCTTCAACCCGCAAAAGCCTGTTAAAACCCCATGGCCATGAAGGCGCGCGTTAACCTGAATTTCGCGTCAATCCCTAAGCTCTCAAACAAAAACGATCTCAAACCCGAAGTTCTACCAAGCAACATGATCCCAGCATCCCTAAATCCCCTAAACCCTAAACCCAAGCCCTTACATCCCTAAGCCCCTAATACCATACACCCTCATCCCTTCAAAAGCCCTAAGCCCCAAACCAATGGCCAGATTCCTAAACCCCCTATACGCTTACCCCAAATCCCTTCATTCCTAAAACCTAAACCCTAAACCCTCATCTCTTCATTCCGAAACCCCCCTAAACCCTAAACCCTTGTAGACCCGAAACCCGAAGCCTTCTTGAGAACGCGTTTCGGAGTTCTATCAGATGCCAGGTTGTCGGCGGCCCTTTTGAAGGATGGTTCAAGTGGTGCCTCGACCGTCGATTTTTTTCAAAGGTGAGGCTTAGGTCTAGGGTCTAGGGTTTTTGAGAATTGTTTAAACGTTTAGGGTCTTGATGTTCGGGTTCTAGGGCATACTTTGCGCATGTAGGGTGTACTGCCATAAACCCTTGCTCCAGAAACTTTTCAGCCCTTTTTAAACAAACTTGGGAAAACTTATAAACCTTTACTTGAACCCAAAACCTCATACAATATCTTCGTAGAACCCCTACTTAAATCAAAAGGCTGACGCCGAGTCGCCTGAATCTTGTCTTCCTTCTTTGTTGTTTACAAGAACCTACAAACCCTTATCCTTTCAAACAACAACCCATACACCCTTCCTTTCAAGGTGTGATTTAGAAAAACCCCATAAGCCCGCTGCTTTTCTGCAAGACCTTAAACCCCGAAGCCTCGAATCATAATCCCCAGATTCCTTTAAACCCTTAAAAACCCTAACCCCTAAACCCTAAACCCCTTCCCTGAGCCCTTCAACCCTCAACCCCCGAGTTTCCCGACCCTAAACCCTAAGCCCTAAACCCTAAACCCGAAGCCCTAAACCATAAGTGTGGGAAGCCTAAACTCGCAGAAACGAAGCCCTGGGCCCTGGGCGCCCTGAGATGGAGAACTCTCACTCGCCGAGGCAAGGAGCGGTTATGGCCGAGGACTTTGCTAAGGGCAAGAAGGGCTATTTGAGGGGTTCAGGGCTTGAGGGGTTTAGGGTTTCAGGGTTAGGGTTTAGGGTCAGGGTTACGAGACATAACGGGGTTGCTACTGCTTGAGGTTTGGGAGGTGTTTACAGGGCCCAAAGATTAAGGAACGCGCTTCAGGGCTTCTATAGAGTGGTCTAAATGTTGATGCTTCTTGGCGTGATCTGAGGTAGTGGCCTAAATAGTTACCTATACTATTTTGGGCATTCCTTCTAATAGTTATAGTATAATGGGCCCAAGCACCTTATTGAAATGATTATGAAGGCCCTTATTGCACATATTACTGCAACCCGAAACCCTAAACCCTCAACCCTAAGCTCAGTAGGGTTTCTCATTCTCACGCACAGTCGCATGAGGGAGGGGATGTATTCCAAACCTTAAGCCCTAACTAAACCCCCAAAGCCCCTAAAGCCCTATAAACCCCTATAAACCCCTATAAACCATCTAAACCCCTATAAACCCCTATAAACCCTTATAAACCCCTAAACCCTAAAACCTAAACACCTAAACCCCTAACCCCCTAAACAACCTAAGCCCCCAAAGCCCCCTAAACCCCAAGGCGCAATTATGATCCTTCTTGGGGTTCCCAAAGGTTGAGATTTCTGGTGCTGGGGAGTTCTTGTTGCCAGGCTTCAGCTTGACCTCAGGTTGCGAGGTTCAGGTTTTGGGGGCTTTTGGGTTTAGGGTTGAGGGGTTTAGGGGTTTAGGGTTTAGGGTTTAGGGTTTAAGGGTTTAGGGTTTAGGGTTTAGGGTTTAAGGGTTTAGGATCTCGAGTTTTCAGCTTTGTTTCGGGTTTGGGGGTCTGGAGGAGCTCTCAAGGGGCTCAAGACTCGTTCAGGCTTTTCGGTTCAGTCGTTTAGTCTCGGGTTTAGGGTTTAAGGGTTTCGGGCTCTCTCCAGGGTTCGTGGCCTGATGACTCACCCAACAAATCTCCAGGGGTGGCCAAATCCCGAGGTTGGGATTTCGCATAAATCCTGAATAGTAAGGTCCTAGTCGTGCAGACCTCACAAGACGGGTTCGAAAGTCTTAGCAAGTCCTTTTAGAACCCCAATGAAACACTGGTCGAACCCGTATAGAGCCCGTATAACGGCCTGGTAGATCCTGTACAGAATTCTTGAAGAGCCTATTGTCATCCATCTCAAAGGACGGCACCATTTATGGCCTACCTAACCGGGCGAAAACGGTGCTCCAGATTCGCCCAGAATCCGCATAGCAAGACGAAAAAAGGGATTAGGGTCCGACCTTACATGAATTTTGGGCTTTTGCGGAGTTATTGTTGTAGGTCTTAAGCTTTTCAGAGCTACAGGGGATGGTGACCTGTTATGGGTTGGGATCCGTCATCGGCTTACTGGGAGAACTTCTGTGCGGACTTGGGACCCAGGCCGTAGCGGCGGCTTGCTCAGTAGTCCAGGGTCCAGGGGTATGCGGTTTCGGGTTCCGGGATTGGGCAAATGTGAGGGTAAGTTGAGACTAGGCAGCTGCTCTTCATGCACTTTAAGTGCTCCAGTTCAATGGCCCAAAGCCCTAAACCCTTAAACCCTAAACCCTAAACCCCTAAACCCTAAAGCCTCAACCCGAAACCCCCAATACCTAAACCCTGAACCAAAGAGACAGCGCTCCTTGCACGCACAAGCTTGTCCCGCCCTTGTCCCCTGAGTCGTGCAGGAAGGAGAGCTTCAGCAACATACAGGGACCCCGATATGGGAGTTTCCAAATTTCAGGGATACCTTATCTTGGGCTCCTTGTAATAAGGGTCCTACTACTTAGGGTGCTTTTTTAGGGTCCCCCATTTTCGCAACCCCCATATGAGCCTCACTGTTCGAGAATCCCAACAAAGGATCCCCAAAATCTGACAAAGCCCCCGTGTCCCAACCCTGATCGACGGAAGGCTTTGGGTGACTGAGCAGACGCCGTTTCGCCGCAGTTTGAGTTCCCATCTTACAGCCCCGCAGGGTAGTGACATCCCCGAGGGAAGCCGAACGACACTGACGGAAGAATGTGCGACGGAGGACTGCCGGTGTTCCTGCCTTCTGCTTGGCGGTCTTCAAGTTGGGATTTGGGTTTAGGCGGTTCCGGAGTTGCATGCTCAAGATGTACGAAAGACATGCAGGAAGGTAACCTGCAAGTACATACACATATACATATACATATAGGAGCCCATCCCAAACTCTGAGCCAAAAGGCTTTCCAATAAGCACTCCAAAGCCCTAGACCCAGAACTCTGAACCCTAAGCCCTACATCCTAAGCCCAGAACCCTAAACCCTAAACCCTAAGCCCTAAACCCTAAACCCTAAACCCGAACCCCTAAACCCTAAACCCTAAACTCCCTAAACCCCTAAAATCCCTAAACCCCTTGAAGCAACTCTTTGGGCTAAGTGCGTAGGCTTTAGGGTTTTTGGCCTTTGTTAACCCAAACTTGGGTTTAGGGTTTAGGGTTTAGGGTTTTCGGGTTTTGGGGTTTAGGCTTTAGGGTTTACGGTTTAGGGTTTTTTTTACACCTACACCCTAAGCCTTCCAAAGCCCCAGATCCTCTGGGGACGGAAGGATGCGCGTGCAACCTGCCTGCGAAGATCCTGACGGCAGTCGGCGCTGTGTGCCTTGTTTTCCAGAAGACCCTAAACCCTGAACCCCAAACCCACCAGCTAAAACCCTAAACCCTAAGCCCACTTTCAGGGTCTAGGGTTTGGGCACTTGGGGTTTTAGGAGGGTTTAGGCCTTCGGCTCACACCCACCCAGAGGCACAGGTGAGTCGTAGCCATGCTTGTTCTGGGTTCTTGCTTGACAGCTCCCCTTCATTGAAGCTGCTGCCCATGCTGCTTCTGGTCGAAATGATCGAATGATTATATATTCTTCTGGTTGCAACCCCAAACCCCAAGCCCTAAAGAGTTCAGGGCTCAGGCTGGATGGTTTGGGGTTCAATGCATAGGCTGCGCTTTCGGGATGTTCTTGCATTTCAGCCCTCAGCCCTATACCCTAAGCCCTAAATCCTACAACCTTGGGGCTTACGGCTCTAAGCTAACCCGAAAGCCCGAAACACGAACCCCACACGCCTGAACCCTAAACCCTAAACCCCACACGCCTTAAACATCCATCTTCAACCCCCAAACTGCAACTAGGATCGCTGCCATCGGCATCATTATCTACATTGTCGGAGTGACTCAGGTCGGGCCTTCCGTAAATCTCGGGTTTTGACTCTGGCTCTTTTGGGGTGTTTTGTGGGTGAGGGTTTCGGGTTAGGGTTTTGTTTTTTGGGTTTCAGAGTCTGGAGTTGAGGGTTTGGCTTTTTGGTTTCGGGTTCAGGGTTTGTCTTCGGCTAGATGCCGGTTTTCTTGAGTTCATCAGCCTCAACTGGGTGTCGATAAGGTTTTATGAATGGAATGGCACCTGACTTGACCGTGAGGTTGCAGAAATACAGGGGGAGGGATAATGAGTGAGAATGTACCTTTACAGTCCCTATATACTTGTGCCATGATGCGCACACGAAAACCCTATTCATGCTATGAAGGCCGCTATGTTTGGAAGCCCCATCGTGCAAATCCAAAACCTTACATCCTAATGGAGCCGACTCGCAACCTCTGTTCATAAGGGCTTTGCGTGATTGGCAATATAGTCTTTGTTTGGGTTCCTGCCTACACTGATGTATGAAGCTCGCCGAGTAGTTGAATTAGATAGTTTGCCTCCATACGGTACGATCCATGATCCAGTTGACAACTTGGCTGTGAGCCTCAGCACCAGCAACCTGCTCGGAACAAGCTCGCGTAACAGCGGCTGTAGTTTTGCGCAACTTTTGCACAGAATGGCTGCTTTGCGCAAGCGAGCGAAATGGGTAGTTTGTCTTAATTGGGGTCCTCTTCGCCCCCCCAAAAAAGTACGGCACCCTTACAGGAAGGACCCCAGAAGCGATCATAATTCAAACAACTATGCATATAGATAGATGTCAGGTTTAGGGTTTAGGGTTTAGGGTTTAGGGTCAGCAGCCGCTACTGCTTGGATGCACTTGATAAGCGACTGGAGCGGTTTCTCGGCAGTAAGCACTGTAACGAGGAGCCGAAGCTTGTTTCAGATGTCTAGTATACGGGTAGTTCGTGTGTGGGTCCCCCACAGACTACCTCACTCTGAAACTGCGGTCCGTGCAAGAATTCGAACTTTGAGCCCTAAACCCTAAACCCTAAACCTAGGATGAATCAGGACCCTCTAACCTTACAGGCCCAACCCCTACATCCCCAAGACCCCGGAGACCTCGGAGCCCAATGCCCCAAGCCCTAAGCCCTAACACCCCTACACTCTACATCCGACGTCCCTAAACCTTAAATTAACCCTGAATAGCTTACCCCTTTCAGGACTTAGATAAAGAAATCATATTAAGGATCCCTACAAGCCGTAGGTTCTTTGGGGTCCAGGTAAGTCCTTGACTTGCACTTGGCTCGTCCACGTAAAGAGCCGTGATTGAATCCGTATAGAAGCCCTTGATAGAAGCCTAACCCTATAAACCCTAAACAGAAGCCTTTATATCAGCCCTGAATAGAACCCGCATAAACCCTAGAGCCTAAACCCTATACACCCTAAGCCCTAAAACTAAAAACTTAAACCAGCTTAGAACCCTAGCCGGAGGTGGCGTCGATCGCAGACGATCGCATGCTGGTGGACGGCCAGAGGACTTCCTAAGAGTTGTTTTTGTTGATTGCGGGTTTCGTGGTTACGGGTTCAGGTTTTTTGGGGATTAGGGTTTAGGGTTCAGGGTTTAGGGGACATTAAAAAGGGCTCCTCTAATATAAGGGCTCTATGATTATTACTATGGGGTTTCGGCTTTAAGGTTTGGGGTTTAGGGTCAGGGAGGGTGGCCATAAAGGGGTCTCAGCGAAGCTTCGTTTGTACGGGTTTAGGGCTTCAGGTTTAGGCTTTAGGGTTGAGGAAACCCGTAAACCCTAAAAAAGGGGCTTGCGCAAGCCGAAAACAAGCAAAGAGCTCGGCAAGTGTCTTTGACTCGTACGCTGCAACGGAGCGCGAACGACAGCAAATACTAAGATAGGGGTTTGAATAACTAGCAGCATGGTTTTGCCCATTCCCCACAACGTATAGCGTCTCGTACCCTTTCTGTCCCCGGCTTCTTAGTGAAGGGATGGCATCGCTCAGTTTTGATTTTTGTGTACCAAGGAGGTTCTATTTCCCTTTTCGTCTTAATTAGAAGCAATTCCACAGAGCTCTCGAAACGACGGCTGACACTGTTCAACAGTTTCGGCCCTTGCGTTGCTAGTCTTAGCAAATGCCCCAAAGTCCCAAACTCCTAGGCGCTACATCCCAACCCGCAATCGCTCAAACCCCTTTCCCCCTCCGTCTAAATCCCCCAAATCCTTAATCCTGAACCGTAAACCCTGGCAACCCAAACCCTAAACCCTAAACCGCCAACCCCAGAAACCGTCCCCCAAACCCTAAACCCCAAACCCCTGAGCCACAAACGCCCTAAATGGAACCCCCAGACGCTTGGGAAGGAACTTTGAGTTCCAACTGGGCGGAGGCACTGGCAGAATGAAGGTTTTGAGGAAGGAGGGTTTAAGGTTTGGGGTTTAAGGTTTAGGGTTTAGGATATAGGTTTTATAGGGCTCCTTCAAGGGATACTATCATGGTTATGAGGTTTACTATCATCAGTCTTTAAGGGATTTAGGGTTCAGGGCATGCACGACGAGGGGCTGCCAGGGGAATGCAGGTTGCAAGAACCGTAAGAGCGAAGGGTGCAGGAAGTGCAGGCGGGACTGCAGCCTGCAGCAACCGCAGGAACGCAAGACTGCAGGATCCGTGGCCTGCCACATGAAGGGTTTAATTTAGACTAAAGCACTGACGATGGGGAAGACCAAAGCATGACCCCTAATATTCGCCTTTTTCCATCGTAGTAAGATTATAAGATTAAATAGTGATGTAGTATGTCGGGTGGTTTTGAATCAAAACGGGAGGAGATTAAGTGAACAATTTCTGCACAGTTGTCAGGTGGTAATGCCAGATCGCTTACAGCTCCACGCCCGTTGACTGGGGTTCGATAGGCATCAGGGCTCATTTATGTGTACCTTCTGGCTCTGTGTTTGTAGGGTGTTCGGGGCATGGTGCTCGGGAATGAGGCGGGGGCTGGGTTTCGGATGGATGAGTCAGGGTTGAGGATGTAGGTCGTGGCGACTAACTGGGCATGTTACATGATTGGCATGCCGAAAAGGAAAAGGGACTCCGTCCTCCAAGTACCCCACGTGCCAACTTGACACCAGGTGCGGTGTTTGACAGCGTGCTGTTCTTGCACGACGAAGGCCGAAAGCTGTTCTTGTAAACGCAATACTCGGTTGACAACCTCGATGCCCCACAGACGGAACGCAAGGATGCTGGCGGCTTCTTTGAACCTTAAAACCCGAATTGAAAACTTAAGGCTTGCAAAATTTTCAAATGGTTGCTCACCACGGACTTAAGAAATGCTTCCTGCGTGTAAGATCTTGTCTTATCCCGAGCATGTTCGTGCAGCGTTGCCAAGGTTCTTGGGTGGGGGAAGAAGCCGGGTTGGGTGAATGGTAATCGGACATCCCAGACTCTCAACTTCTGACATGAGCAGCACACATGATCAACTTCAGCTTAGTCATGTTCGCAAGCGTGGTCAGGAAGCTTGGTGCGGTCACCGCGATGCCACTCCCGACGATGAACGACCACTACTACCACCACCACCACCACCACCACGACGACGACTACTACTACTACTAGCCACCCCC